CAGACAAGAAAATTTCATAAAAATTATGTTTTTGAACATTTTTCCTACCTGTATATGGACAACTAGAAACGATATAAAATTTATTTAAAATGTTTTTCGATATATTTTGTAGTTCACGAGTTAAAAGTAAATAAGTAAAAGGGACCCTTCGGATAAAAAGGGTGGTTTCTCCCTTAGAGTCTAAAGGTGGCAATAACCAAGTACACAAAAATTTTTAGGTTGGCTCCATAAACAATTGAGCAAAGTTACACAAAAAACGGCGTGTATCACTTCACGAACATCCCTTGTAAGTCGCGCACACTTGTGGCGTGGCAAAACTCGCGGCAATGGGAACGCACCTTAATTTAATTTATTCGCATCTACGAGACTTTCCTGCACTGTGAGGTATTTCACTCGATTTCAGACACAGTTTGGTGAAACACACATGCTTCTAAGGTCCAAAGAAGTCATGAAAGCAGTTACGTTAGTTGACAATGGACGCAACATGCACTACATTGCTAGACTGTCGGATACGATTAACTTGGGATGTACTTCCGTAAACCTAGACCAGGTCGAACAAAGACAAATTTTTGCAATATATGATGAACTTATTACGTTTTAGATTTACCGATATGGTTATACTATCATCGTAAGGGCCAGGAAAATTACTTCAGAAAGTTGGTGAAGTCAACGAAGCATCAAGTTCGTAGAGGGGGAGGACCCTGCAAATGTAAGGGCACGGTTATTACGCCACCGTTCCTACTCCCCTCTATAGCTTTGGCTCTGGACCTTACGCCGATAAGTTACTATGGCCAATTTTGTTTGTCCCATACTGATTTAAATTAAATTGTGCAAGATGATACATATACATGTATGAAGAGCTATACACATTTTAAAGAAGAATGCTCAATGCCTAAGTAGTTAAATACTAATGATCACACACTTTAGTCAACAGCAGTAGTGGTGTAGCAATAAGGTATTAATTGTTAACATTTTTGACCTGGGGTTCAACTCCCACCGAACCTACTTTCTTTTCTCGCATATAAAAAAAAATGGTCACGTTTAATTTTGCTATTATAAACACGTGTATGCATTGTTACACAAACCGAACCAAATTATTTATTGATTTATTATTAGATTGCAGATTTTATGCATTTATAATCTATAGAGCTCCGTGAAATACAATGAAAGTTCTATTTAGTTCTAATAAAATTCTATTTTATTCTGAACACAATAAGACACTCAAAAGGAATAAAATAAATATTTACATATGCTCCTGCCTTTATAAATTGCTTTAGAAAATGTTATTTTGCATAGAAATCTGCAGTCTATTTAAGACGACACTGTAAGGGTGACAATGACCGCGTACGTACTGTTTTTTTTAAATACAGTTAATGTAGACTACAACCTCTCATATCCAAATGAATTGTGCAGTAAGATTCCTAATTACTGCAGACGGTTCTTTTAAATTATCTAAGCTACCCATTCAGCCTCTTGATGAAGTAAAAAAAGAAATAAGAGTATATGAATTAATCAGTAAAAAATATTTTATTACGTTAGGGAACATTTAAGCTCCGGAGTTATATTAAAGAGTTTAGGGGACAATTCCTTGCGTATCTCCAATTACATCTTGGCTACATTGAAATGACGATTTATGAAGATGGTGTTACAGATAAATTTTTTAATGCTAATGAAGCCGACATTTCTGCTTGTTGAGAATATTCTGGGTCGTAGCTCATGATGAATCAGGATACTGCGTCAGCGTTGGTGATACTTGAATGTGTTGAAATAATGATGGCAACCGTAATTGTTGACAATGAGGACACGGTACTGCGAATGGTATTCTGATGACAATCGATAATGATTTTACGTATTATGCCAAAAAACAGTACAATATGGTAGTCGTATGACGGAATTAATGATAGTGTCTGTCGCAAGGTCTTTGGTTTGCTCAAGGCGATACATATGTTTATCATACGTCCGTTTAGTATGCTTCCTCCAAAAACTTTTCAAAATTTTTCATCATTCCCGATTCTCTTTTTCGCTTTTTCGCCGAAGTTATGGGGAGTGTAAGAATATTGCCATTATTTTCTGCGGACGAGGAAGATATTTCTGTTGGCCTGTTTTCAGGGGACCTATTGTCCTCGATCTGTTCGGTATATTCCTTTTCCTTATACTTTTCTTGCAATTCCTAGAACAGAGTTGAACACATTTGTTTTCGTTTTTAGTGGCCCAGAACCTCGGACGAATGGCGGAAAACAAAGATAAGATTTGAAGAATTTTTCACACGAAAGTATATTCGAACGGGATCCAAGATGGAGGCTCGAGTCTGTTTACTACAGAGAAGCGAGGTGTACTCTCGAAATTTGATTTTAGACAGAAAATACTAACAGTATAGGAGAGTTTACTAGACTCTTTTCAAATTTTTGGGGAACAGTCAGCACCACTTTAAAGAATATTATATATTCTTAAGAAGAGAATGTTAAATATAATATAAAATAATCGCTGGATTTGGACGTTAGAAACGTCGATTGTTGTCATATGTCACCACTTCGAGGTAGGGGTTCTTTCTAGGTGGCTACGGCAGTGGCTGTTACCGACCAAGCCCACTAGTAGTTACCGACCGAGCCCTTGAATCAACTGGCCAACGCGCGGTCATAGTAACATAATCCATTGCGTCAGACTATTTTCGATAATTATAACTCAGAAACAAGGTCTTTAATCGAATTTCGATATTCTTGATTTTCGTCTTGGTTTGACATGTAGAATCACCGTTTAAAATTTCTGACACCTGTTGTCGAACTTCCTGTATTATATAGATATAAAAGATCTGCATAAAACAGTCATTCAAATGTCTATTATCTATGGAATACGTGTTCTGCGCGTTAAAACTGATAAGTAAAATTTTTGTTTAAAGAAAAAAGCGAACTGGCCTGTGCAATTTGTATTTCTTTCTCGTACATACACACTGTTCTCCCATTTCCTTAAACAGATTTATGAAATTGCGAGGCGCCATTCATACTTCTGACAAACACAAACGGCATAATATAGTAAATATTTTGAAAATATTATGTGCATTATGTAGGATAGCGACGTATAACTTCGATTTTCGTAAGTAGGAGCAGCGTTATCGTGACCGATGCCAAGAGTCAAAGTCATGAGACGAAGTGGGAAAAGTTGACTAGTCTGATTAAGGTTTCTGGTCTCTACTAGTGATCCCTACATTCGCAGATTACTCTGCCAAGAGACTATTGTTCTGAACGGGAGGGGGTGACTTGCCTGGATTGGTCAAGAGATCCTGATGTAAAAAAAAATATGTTTTACGTCTGCCGCCAGTAAAACTGTCACATAACTTTACAGCCCTGTTAGGCGTAAAATTGACGAGGCATAATTTTGTTGATATACAAGATATGACAATAAAGTTTCGAGAATAATTGACTTAAAAAATTTATTTTTAAAATTGAATAAATATAAAACCTCAAAGTAGCCCCATTTAAATTGTATGCGTGGATTCCAGCGTCTAATTCATTGATCGTAGGATTTCTAGTATCCTTTTTAATACCCGTATAACGTTACAAAGTTTGACAATAAAGTTCCGAGAATAACTTTGTTAAATTTTACATCAGTCAAAATAAATGTAATTGTTCACATAAGGTTGTCACTTTGATGGAAACAAAGTTATTCTCGAAACTTTAGTGTCACAGCTCGAGTACCAGAAATGTTACGATCTATGGATCCGATGCTGGAATGCATGCATAAAGTTTCTACAGGACTACTTCCAAGGCAATGGCCTCACATATGTTTAATTTTTGATATAAAAGTTTTAAATGAGTTATTCTCGAAACTTTATTGTCGCACCTCATACCTCGTATTCTTATATTTCCTCCATTAACTTTAGAACTATTTTATCCATTTAGCCTCCCAATCATCTCTTCTAAAGGGACATTTAGTAATGGAACACAATACATATAATTTGTAAATTCGGTATAAAAATACTTTGGTGATTGAACACATTGTTGTATATTATAATATAATGTTGTTGGGCTGAGGTTATGTTTAGACTCATTTTCATCGAAAAAATCTTGTCCACGCATTAAAAATACTCTTATTAAGTTGTGATTGAAAATACAGGAATTTTACTTAATTTGTTCTTGTTTGTAATCATATTCAAATTTTGCCTACCATATTAATAATACAATAATTTTGTAATGACATTATTACTGGTTGAAATCGAGGCTGTTAAGACTGAAGTAATCGTTGCAAACGAGAAAATTAATTGAAGATACATGCATTTTATTTGCACATAGAACTACTGTTGTAACTTGAAATTAAATACGACTCTTGTAAAATAATGACTGGTTTCATAGAGATAGCAGGGAATCTTACAAAACAAATGTAAAATTAACCCTGAGTTTGTGAGGTGGAAATCTTATTACTTATTGCACAAATCTTACTGTTGTACTTATTATATAACTAGTTGTTTGCATTCTTATGTGAGAAACTATTCAAATAAACAAACATGTCTTCAAGTAACTGTTGAATGAAAATAAGATATTCTAAAAATATTCATGGGGTTCCTCAAACCCTGTCACACCAGTTAAGGGTTACAAAAACTGACTAATATACAAGGGTCAAGAATCCTTCTATACAGACCATATATGACATCCTGTTACAAATACAATTTAAACAAAATACATAAAACATACATTTTTATATAAAAAATGAATATACAATAACAATGTCCTGTTTATTCAGAACATATACTACAGATTAAATAAAATCTGAAAATGTATATATCCGATTAGAGGATGAAACCGTGAATGTCCAACATAATATAATCTAATTCATGGTTTTCATTAAAAAAAAAAAAAAAACATCCAGCAGTTAGAATTACTCAGTAAAGAAGCAGGTTATCCGAACCCCATCTAAAGTTGTCTACAAGGAAAGCACTTTTCTACAGACATTGTAACTTCCAATCAACTATTGACTGGAGTTTTATAATATGAAAAATATTTCCGTACCTTTTGTTTTGGAGATTCAGATACTGGAGTAATCCTTTCGTCCTCAGGTTTTGTTGTTCTGTTTACTGGGGGTCGATTTGGCGAGGAACCTAGAAGCAAGTGTAAAAATAAAATAAAATTAAATTAAATTAATGCAAAAAAGTCTCTCGATTTTGGTTTTTCTGTTCTGAATATTCCATTATCATTAACTATATTTGATATTTCAAATCTATATCAACTATTAATGCAATATATAATCTTTTTATCTTTCATTGTAGCTTCAAAACACTTTCACTAATAAAATGATATTTTCATAAACAAAATTATAACAATTGGAAAATAAGTTTCTTCATTGAAATGTCTTACAAAATGGTTAACAAAGTCAAATGATTGATAGAGTAAGGTGATTAATTACAATATTATGAATGATAAGGTGTAGAACATTTGATAGAGTCCAACTCTACAGCTTGAACATACAGTTCTAGTCCATTTCTCCACCCTGGCTGCTAAACGCCCAATACGTCTTTTTCTATATGAATTTAATTAAAGAAATGAATAATTGATTTTTGAAGCATATATCCCAGCAGACATTGTAAAAGTTACCTTGGTACATATTGTTCTGTCAGTCTCAAAAGAGTTTATATTAACATTAGATCAAAAACACTATCTTCTTTTACAATTAGGCTTTGTGCAAACTCAAATCCAAAGATTGATTCTGATGAATGATTTTTTATGTGTACTTATTAATATGAACTTACCAACAAATGTTTGATAAAACTGTGAAAGATAAGTTAGAATTGATAACCGATCCGGGACGGAACAAGAGGCCATATCCTCTGCATCCAACAGTGCTGGAATCCCCAAATGTTGCTCTGCTGTTCTGAAAGCCAGCTCATTGTTCCGATAGACGTCGTTCTTATCTAGACTGTCAAAATCACTGTAAACAAAAATAAAGACTAGGTTATCATTTTCAATTAAAGTACGTCTCAAATTATGTAAATTTGCTTCTTTTCATATCTGTACAAAATACTGTACTATGAAACCAAAAAAGAAACAACTTAAAATATATTACAGAAGATTAAATAAATGTACATGACATATTTTAATAAAAAATTTCTGTTCATAAGCAAGTATTATCATCAAGGTATCACTTTAATTATTTACGTTATCAGAAGAATTACAGTAATCTCAGTGAGACAGTAATTGAATCTCTTTGCAAGACTATAACTGGTTTCCTTTTTACGCTAAATGTACTCTGTCACATCAGCCGAACACTACATGTTCTCTGTGTCACATGAAGTTGTCTATCCTTTTTATTCTATCGTAACACGAATATTTTTGTATGAGTAGCTCCTTCCCATTCCTACCTAATCATTAACTAATGAAGTGTGTCTTGTTGGGACGACTAGACCTTCATCCCAAATGCGAGTATAGGTCCTGGAACTGATACAGTGAGGTCGTAGAGTCATAAAAATTTTGATTCAGGAAAAGCAGAAGTAATGGCAATTTAAGGGGAGATAATGAGCTCAAATCTTGTTCAGGACCATACAATGGAACGGATATATGTCCTAATCCTTAACCAATCCAGGATAATTTTTACTAGTACAGCAACTGTTAACCCTTCCATTCCCAAATTATTTAAAAATTACTAAAAACATATTTTGAGAGAGGTATTCCAAAAGTAGGCCTCACAAGAAAGTCACGTCTTGTGAAAGTCGCCATGGCATAACGTTTCAACTCTGATTTCTGACAGTGAACTGACGCGTTAGCTACATGGCTTAGGGTATGCACCTGAAAAGGGTCGGGCTATTCAATGGTAAAACCGAATTTTTCTGCTCTTTCTATTCGTACGAAAATAATTATGGATTAACTACGTAATAATAATAATCCTTAACTCATTTTCTCCTAGCACACCAAAAGCCTAGGATATACGCAAAATACAGTAAATCCTCGATGAGAGTTCGAAGGCTCCTCGGCGCTGACAAGGAAAGATCTCTAAGTGTAAAGCTGACATTTTAATACGATTTAGCAAAGATTTTGTAATTCTGAAGTTAATGATATTTGTTTCAGCCGCATATGGCCATTAATTTATGAAATATTTAATGTTCACTGCTGAGGAGCTTTCTAGCACTCATCGAAGATTTACTGTAGACTAATCTCAACAGCTGTTGCTTACATCAAACTGGCCAATTTGTTAGCGTTTTTTAAGTGTAGTCGACGGTTGACTCATGGAGGATTTATGATAGGGTTTTTGGAATGCATGCAATCTTGACGGAGGGTGCATGAGACTAAACGGATTTGGATGTGCAATTAAAAGAGCCACTCCTACTGCACTATCAATCTACTCTGATTACATATTATCTGCTGACTTACATGAGCTCTGGCCGAAAGTGATGAATCATTGCACAGAAAGCAAGGCCGTCTTTCCAAGAGGTCGTCATGTTTTGTACATTCACGCCGGGATAACCTTCGGTTATCCGTCTGCACCAGAGTTCTAGCGCCTTTGTGCCCCGTTTCTCGCCCATTTTGAATAGACACTTCCGTTTCCTGTCCCTCTTGTGAAACTTTTACCCAGCTTTTCACCGCTGTTTACGTTTTCCCGCAGAGATGGACGAAATTTCTGTCCTGGATACTTTAGTTGGAGATTCTGGAACAGAATACATACAACAATGTAAATGTACACATTTTAGCCCTTTATTACCTGACGATAGCACCACTTACATATTACATATTACAATAAAATGCTGCCATGAACCAATACGCTTAGAACTTGGCTAGGACTTATGGATGGACGTTATTAGGATGCTTTATTAATAAAAGAACTGATGACTTGGAAAGTCTTATACTTTTAAACCTCTGAAGATTCAAAGAGAAAAGTAAAAGTATCAGGTAACTTTTTTCAGTTTTCAAAGTGAACCTAACCTATAATTTGTTTATGCCCTGTATAATTGTTAATTTTCTGTCGGGGACACGTCATTACAGATTTTTTTAAATAAAATTTCGACTTTCTATTAATACCCTGACTTGCCGTATAATTAAAACGATTGTGTCTCTTATGAAATGGATGAAACGAATTCTGTAATCCTATAATACCCTATAATTAAAACTTTTTTGTCTTACAATACTAGTGAATGCACCAATAAATGAACATTGTATATAAAAACAAGTAAATTAAGTTACTAAAATAAGCATATGATTAAATATTGATCCTTTTCAATGCCTTGTTTCATATTTAAATAATTTTCCCGCCATTAGTTAGAAATGTTCATTCAGTGATGAGAATTGTATTTTTTTCTTCTCAATTCAAATAAATTAAGCCTTTCCTCATTTTTCAGATTGAAATATATACGTCACGAAAAAGTACAGATATTAAAAAATTATAATTTTCATGTGTCAAATGCTTATTAATATTATTGTCATTTAAAATTCGACTTTTATAGTTGCAAAATCTCTTAAACGCTCATTCATTGGTGCGTTTACCCATTAATTTACTACATCTTTGAAGTCCTCTGAGATATTAGAAAATGGTGTCAGTACTCAGAAACATCATATTCAGCTACTTGAATAAATAGAAAATAAAAGACCCTATTTGTACAGTTTTTAAGTATGTGGAATAGAACTTGCTATAAACAAATAACGATCATATAATTCAGGCCTTACAGTTAAAGTACCAACCCTATTTTAGGTTATAGTATTAACCCTATTTTAGGTTAAAGTAAGAACCCTATTTCATTGTTAAGCAACATGTAACACAGTTATTCATCTAGAATTGCCATGAGTAAAGAATATGTTCTTCAGCATTGTACTTATGTAGTAAATGTCATATGGATAATGAAAATTTTCGGTTTTTTGTTCTAGATATCAAGAGTCCTTTTTTCTAGATTCCAAAGCATACGGTACTTCTATTGCAAACCGTGGACAGAGTCATTTCAACAACTGTGAAAGAATGGAAGAACACCAACAACGCTATTTCGTTCGAAAAAAAAAATAGTTACAAAATTTTTATATAGAAGGAGTTCCACCTAACGTGAGGGGAGGAATTAATAAAATTAATTTTATGCAAATCAAAAACAAGTGGTGCATACTAATGGTGTTCACAAAAATTAAATTTATTACTCACAAAAATTAAAAATTAAATTTATTAGTAAGCACCACTTGTTTTTGATTTGCATAAAATTAATTTTAATAAATGCTCAAAGTGATGTCCATCATCTCTAATACATGTTTGCACTAATTCCTCTATCGTAGTTATTTTATTACTTAAATCTACTGTCATACATTTCTGAATTTTTCGCACTCAGGGTGACATGAAGGTCACAGTATAGGTTATTGGATTGGTCTTGATCTCAACCATTAAGCCACGCTGATAAAAAATGTGTAGTCCCAATTAACAAAAAATCGACGACCTTTAAATTTCAAAAATATGACCTTGGAAAAAATGTTTGCTTATCCTAGTATTATCCTTCTAACCAAATAATACTTTTCCCTGACATTTTGTTGAATAAAGCCTTTAAAATAATTTTCTCATTTATTTCGTAATTTTGTCGAAAAAAAATTCACAAGTTACATATATGATTTGTGGACCTGTAAGGTGACCTAACCCCTTAATTGGCAATCCATTGGAATGTACTTCCTCCGGTTGTAAATTACCATTCACAAGGAAACGATCGGAAATAGAAACAGGTCACCGTTAATGGGACCCGTTTCAAGGTGTAGTCCTCGATGATTTGTCCAAGAAATATCACCATTTCGGGGTGTAACGAGTTACTTCGTTCCATGTAAGTAAGGGCAAAGCCACGTTTTTAAGGTCACGGACAGAGACGGACGACAGGCGTTCAAAAATCGTAAATATTTCGTGTGATTCACTGGATAGCATTCACAGCCGGAACAGACGCTGATTTGCCTGGTTCTGAGATCCTTGAATACACGAACCATTAAAGGAACGTGTTTTCCACCTTCGGTCAACACTTTACAAGGCGGCGCATTGATATACGGTCAGTCACGGAAGTCCATACAGGGTGATAAGAAAATAAGGTTCAGAACTTTCAGGACGGACAGCACCCATCGTATGGAGAACAAAGGTCCTAATAAACATGGGTCGAAAACTCGAGGGCCCTTTCCCCTTTAGCGACCGGAAAAAAAGGTAACACTTAGGAATTTTTTTTTAAAGGAAGCAAAGAAGACATGGTAAAAAAGACGTCTTGGCCTTTATTTGTTATACATTTAGATAAACAAAAAAGATTTTGTGTCAATATTCTTGTATTGTAGGTGGCGCTAATTGTGGTGATCCGAAATTGAACTGTATACAAACGGTACCCATCGTAACGTAAAAAGTTGTTAACCGATTTAAAAAATTCTAGTGGCATTGTAATCGAATCAACTATCGTATGACCTACTATTGAAAATTTTGAAGCGTAAATTCTTGTGTTATTCACAATAATATATGTAAAACTTCCTCCGATTTTTGCATGTCTTTGTTAATAGTCATACCAAACGTGGCCATTTTATTTTGTCGACTTCACGATAGGTCGTACGACAGACGCAGTAACATTCAATAATCTTTCTGAAATTTTTATTTCGAACTACTCTGCATCGAGATATTGGGTAGCAATTTTGGATCGACACGATTAGCGCCATCTACAATTTGCCTAGCCGCACGAATATTGAAACAAACATTCTTTTTATTTAAATGAATGTAGAATAAATAAAGGCCAGAAAGTGTTTTTACATCTTCTTTGCATTCTTCTTAAAAAATTCCTAAAGATCGCCCTTTTTTGGGACGCTAAAGGGAAATGGGGCTTTGACGGTATCAAGACATTAAGGAAACGTGAAGATAGAAAAAATGGATTTTCTATCTTTTCCTATCACCACCTTCCTGGTCTGCGGATACAATCGTGGAATGATCGGTGTGGGTGAGTGGTGGGAAGAGGTCAAAGTGCGTAATTATTTACGGGTGTCTGGGTTTCTCGACCGAATCGATCGACAACAGTGAACGAAAAATCAATGAGAGCGAGGGAGACAGAACAACAGGAAGTTATCCGTCACCCTCTACACAAAGTATGTCCGGTTTAAATGTATACACGCTATTATTTCTAGAGTTATTGAAAATACGAAAAAATGTTTTGTACGAAAGTTGTTTGATTTCACGAAGTAAACTTAATAGAATATTTGAATTTTTTTAAAAATAATTATTTACAGAGATTTTAATAACAATGTAATATTTTTAAACGGAACAACATATTTGTATTATGGCCATGTTATTAAGCAGTTTAAGACAAATTCAACGACATATTTGAAAGTTCTGTTTGAACAATAATTTCTCGGATAATTGTATGAACATTAATGGAAAATCGCAAGTTCGGTTAGTGTCTTTTACCCGTAACGTGTGATCCACGAAACAAAAAAGAATACATCAGATCACTTACATTAAAGAGCCGTTCATTTTTTATATTAACAAATGCATTACATTACAAGTAACACATATCGTAATAATGATTCGAAGTGGTTCCACGTATGCCATTTCGAATAATTGAAGTTAAAATATCTGCTGAACCAATGGCATTTTTATATGAATAAGTAAATACTTTTTTATACGGAATTACAATCTGGATCGACTAATGTAATAAAAAATATATGATTCCATTTAAAAAAACAAACTTGACCTTCATATGTCCTCTATGCATGCTCCTACGAAAAAAGCGGCAAATTATATAACTTTTACCCGAAACGTTTTCACTAAAATCATTAATTAGGTCGTATCGAAATGGTTCCTGTTACATGATCTACCCTGTATAATAAATTGGATTGTACTGAGCACATTAGATTCTGGGTACCGTTTATTATAAGATAAATTGGTACGTTTCTGGGTAATATAACGTACGATAAATTGTTAGGATTGTTTATTGCTACTCGAGACACTACAAGCTATAAAAACAGTTTCTTATGTAATTATCTGAATGGATTATTGTAACAATTTTGGGACACTTAGCCATCCTTTTACATTTAGATTTTTTTTTTATAATTTTTACATTTAGGAATGAAAATGAGCAATTTTTTTACACCTTAAAAAATATTTATGAAAACCTCTGTTACGCACTGAAGCGATGCCGTTCTAACTTGACTTTTACGCTCGAAATTAGAAAGGAAGGTGGTAGAAAGTGTAGGGCCTACCGGATCTAATGCACCCTAGTGAGCAATTTAGTATCTATTTCAACATTTTAGTTCGTAAAACAACCGGTAGGGGCACTGGTTGGATTCATCTTTCGTAATAAACTCGCAATAAACATTTTTCAGAAAAACTCTTGGAAGTATTTTTATATATCAACAAAGATAGAAATTAACAAAATTCTCGATATTAGATCACAATTTGTGCTATAGGAATTAGAGGGTTAAGCTAGTGTACAAGTGTTAAACTCTGTAACTTCGTTAACTTTTGATCTTGGGTTGGAAATTTTCAAAATATACTTTTAAAACTTGCACTTCAAATACATAAAAATTAAAAAACTATTTTTTTGTATACATCAAGATACACGTGATTCTTTAAAAAATACAATATCAATTTCTTTTTTTTTTTAAAAAAAAAAAGGTATAAATTAATTTTTATCTCAAAATCTATTGCTCATATGGTATTCACTTTCTCGTTCAGGT